TATAACGCCCCCCTCACGGCTTAAAGGGGGAGCATATTTGATGGGACGGAGATTCGAACCCACGACCCTCACATTGCGAATCGAGCGCCCTAACCACCTGGCCATGCCGGGCCAGTTGTTGTTAAGAGAAAAGCTTCACAATGGGCTAATCATTGAGCCACTGGCAGGCGTGAAATTCACTAAGTTAGGCGTAATCTCTGTACGTATATTTTTGTCACTTATTGAAGATTGTATTTGAGATTCTTAGTTTATACGGAACATTATTACTTCAGAGTTCTGTTTATCTTTCTTCGAATGAGCGTTCACTTAGTTACAGTCATATTATATTTTGACTTTTAGCTTATGTAACAAACGTTACGAGCGAATGATTAATAATGGCTGGAGACGGCTTGAATGGGTAATGAAGAAAAACTTTATCATAAGTTTAACATAACAGCAAATGTACAACGTTTCGACAAGGTTTTGTCAGTTTGTATCCCGTATCTTGTTTTATTAGCTATTTTTTGTTTATAATTTTCGCGAAAAACTACACAAAGACTATCTTCACATACTCCTTCCCTAATGTTGAACTGATCGACTACAGAGAAGGTAGTTAGTTAACAGCCACCTACAGCTAACTCGTGGGTTACTTATATTTGATCTAATATCGTGATTTGACCGTTACCCCTATATTGCACTTATGGTCTCAAAGTGCGGAACGCATTTTTACGGCAACTAGACGCGAACTAAACAATATAGAAAATATACACCTCGCATTGATTCGAATAATAATAATAATAAATCTGCCAGTTAAGTTTGTGCCATCCAATAACGCAAGAAACATCAGTGCATTCGCGCATTCCCCGTAAACACGCAATAACGCATCTCTGTACTAACATCGTCCTATCAAGTACGCAAGAACATATCTCTGTACTAACATCGTATATCAAGTACGCAATAACATATCTCTGTACTAACATCGTCCCACAAAATAGGCAATAACATATCTCTGTACTAACACCGTCCTATCAAGTACGCAAGAACGTATCTCTGTACTAACATCGTCCTATCAACTACGCAAGAACGTATCTCTGTACTAACATCGTCCTATCAAGTACGCAAGAACGTATCTCTGTACTAACATCGTCCTATCAACTACGCAAGAACGTATCTCTGTACTAACATCGTCCTATCAAGTACGCAAGAACGTATCTCTGTACTAACATCGTCCTATCAAGTAGGCAAGAACTATCTCTGTACTAACATCATTTCACCAAGTAGGCAAGAACATATCCCTGTACTGATATCGTCCCACCAAGTAGGCAATAACATATCTCTGTACTAACATCGTCCTATCAAGTACGCAAGAACGTATCTCTGTACTAACATCGTCCTATCAAGTAGGCAAGAACATATCTCTGTACTAGCATCGTCCCGCGAAATAGGCAAGAACATATCCCTCTACTAATATCGTCCCACAAAATAGGCAATAACATATCTCTGTACTAACATCGTCCCACTAAGTAGGCAAGAACATATCTCTGTACTAGCATCGTCCCGCGAAATAGGCAAGAACATATCTCTGTACTAACATCGTCCTATCAAGTACGCAAGAACATATCTCTGTACTAGCATCGTCCGGCGAAATAGGCAAGAACATATCTCTGTACTAACATCGTCCTTCCAAGTAGGCAAGAACTATCTCTGTACTAACATCATCCCACCAAGTAGGCAAGAACATATCTCTGTACTAGCATCGTCCCGCGAAATAGGCAAGAACATATCCCTCTACTAACTTTCGTCCCACAAAATAGGCAATAACATATCTCTGTACTAACGTCCCACCAAGTAGGCAAGAACATATCTCTGTACTAATATCGTCCTACTAATAAGAAAATTATATATTACTATAAAGGAACACTCCAACCTATGAAACGAGTACACATATCACTGTAATGACACTCAACAGCCAACAAATCTAGTGTATGTATTACTGTAAAGCCATATTCCAAACAACAGATAAAGTACATATATGTACATATTAATATATACACACACATATATATAGCACTGTAAAGGCAAACTCCGATAAAGAAGAAAAAAAATGAAATTGTTCAACCATATATTAATATATATTACTTTAGGAGCGCAATCAACGATAAACATTCTAGAAAAAAAAATCTGCAAATATAGTTGAGATGTTGTTGTACATAGCATCTATAATAAATAACATTACGTAGCTAGAAATTAATAACATAGATAAAGATAAAACCTATCACGTTAGGAGCAATGTACTGTAAATAAACCAAAATGCGTAAAGAATTAACTACTTACATGGAAAAATAAGTTTATAAAGGTCAAAAAAGGATTACTTACAGCTTCTGCTAGAACAATTTGGATACAAAAGTGTATTGAATCAATGAATCAAATTCAAACTCTCGTCTTTCAAAAATCCGAAACTTTTGAGTCCTTTTTTAAGGTTTCTAGTTTATATAGAAATTGAGAACGTAATATCAAAACAATTTTGGAATCTTACCATGCTGTTACAGTACATGTCGCCACGTTCGGTCATGCTTTATCCCATGGCCTTGCATCTTGACAACAGGATTGATGCATAATTTCTAGTACAAAAGACTTCGTCGTATGGCTATCATGTCCAAAGTTATATACCCTTTCTTATATGCTTTCCATAATCAGCCTAGTGTACGTGGACGACTGTTTCCCAGTGCCCATTTCAATAGTCTGATCGCACAGAAACTCACAGGTGCTACTTCCAGTGAGTTGACCAATATGTCTTGATATGGAATAGTATGAATACCTGTTTTCTTCTCCAACTGCTTGAGGTAAGCAACGGTTTAACAGATATGTTGTGGAAGCAGCTTGTGTACACCTGTTTTGTATCGCTTTTCTGGAGGAACATCTACGGCTCCAGTACAACTTGTTGCAGGTCTCTTTCTGGGCGGTCCTAGTAATCCAAGTTGATCCACATTTCTTTGTTTTCTAATGCCATTAAATACAAGGGATTTCCTCAGTTTGGAAATTCTAAATTCCAGATCTGAACAATCTTTATGATCTGAGTGTGCGAATATTATGTGTTGTAAATGGCTGTTACACACCCTTCCAAAGAGCAATCAATTTTCGGTGGCATTACGCTACGGAAATAACGCCAAACAATATGAAAATGTAGTTCTGATACATTCCGTTACACCGTGCATTTATATAGACTGTGGTTATCAACCACCTCCCAAAAAACGCCCATCACATATAATAGTTAAACGAACCGCCTAAACGTCACGTTAGTGTATCCTGTAT